CGCGCGCCACGACGCCCTCCCGGCGACGCGTGGGGTTTGGAGGACGCGAGGGGCGGGGCGGGGGGGAGGTCGGCCCCTCGATGTCCCGCCGCCCCCACCCTTGTAGGCTCCGTCGAGCTCGAGGTGGCGCACTCCTCCTGCGAGCACCTCGAGGCCGCCGCCGTCGCCGGCGCGGAGCGCCACCTTGAGCTGCGCTTCCGGCGCGCGAGCGACGGCCACGAAGTTGCGTGGGCGCAGCTGCCGCTGCCGGCCGCTCCGGGAGGCACGCCTTCGCCGCCGCCGCCGCCGCCGCCGCCGCCGCCGCTCGTCGTCGACGCGACGGACCCTGAGGCGGTGCACGTCGTCGGAAGCGCGCTGACGGTCAGCTTCTCCCGCCGGACGGGCTTGCCGTGCAGCATGCGCCGCTGCGGCGTCGAGCTGCTGCAGGCGCGGCTCGGGCCGTCGCTCCTGTTCGCGACATGGCGCGGACGTGTCGTGGACGCGTCGCGGAACGCGTGTCGTGGACGTGCCCCTAGGCGCCGCTCGAGCCGTCGCTCTGGCGGCCGCTCAACGACAACGAGCTCGGTGCGTGTGCGCACGTGCGGCTGCGCCGCTTCCGCACCGCCGGCCGGCCGAGCCGCGGCGGCCACCACGCGCTGCTGCAGCCGCTGCGCGTGGACGACGTGGCCGGCGGCGTGGAGGTGGAGGCGCACGCGGCGCTGCTGTCGGACGGCGAGCTCTGCCTCACCACCACCTGCCTCGTGCGGCCCGACGGCGCCGTCGAGGTGTCTGCGCGGCTCGTGAGCGGCGAGCGGCGCGCCGCCGAGGGCGCGGAGGCCGTGGCGGGAGCGGGCGGAGCGGGCGGCGCGGCGGGAGCGGGCGGCGTCGGCTTCTGCGCGGAGGGCGCCCTCTGCCTGAGGAGCTTGGCGCACGGTGCGCACCTCGAGGTCGAGGGCGAGGCGGTGCGGGCGCGGTGGGACGACGAGGGCGCGTGGCAGCAGCTCGTGCTGCGCTTCGCCGACGGCGGCGGCGAGGCGGGCGTGGGCGGCGAGGAGGACGGCGGCGGCTCCGCTCGGCGCCAGCTGTGCTACGGCGACGTCGTCTCGCTGACGGCGCACACCAACCACTACTTGGGCGTGCGCGGCGGCGAGGTGGTCGCCTCCGGCCGGCGGCAGGGCGAGTTTGGCCCGCTCGCGCCTTCCGCCGCGGAGAGCTGGAGCGTCGAGCCCGCCGACGGGCGCGGCCAGCCGGGCGAGCGCGTCGTCTCGGGCGGGCGCGTCGCGCTGCGCTGCGTCGACGGCGGCGGCTTCCTGGGCGGGCGGCGCGGCGAGGCGGCCGACAGCCCGCTGGCATGCGCCGAGAGCGCGGCAGTGTGGGAGATCCGGGCTGGCGAGCGCGCCGCCCCGCTGCGCGTCGGGTTCGTCGCGGCGCTGACGCGCGCGGCTGCGAGCCGCGTCCGGTGGCACGGGCTAGGCCCACACGAGAGCTACCCGGACCGGATGGCGGGGGCGCGCGTCGGAGTGTGGGACGGCAGCGTGGCCGCACAGACGCACAGGTACTGCCGCCCGCAGGAGAATGGCAACAAGATGGGCACGCGCTGGATGGCGCTCAGTGACGCCGCCGGCTCGGCGGGGCTGCTCGTCGTCTCGCGGCGGGGCGCGCCGCTGCCGATGCAGTGCCACCACTTTGCGCTCGACGACTTCGACGTGCGGCCCGGCTCGGCGGTGCCCGAGGTGCGGCACGGGGGCTCGCTGCAGGAGGCGCCGTGGACGACGCTCTGCATCGACGGCGCGCACGCCGGCGTCGGCGGCATCGACTCGTGGGGCTCGCAGCCGCTGCCGCAGCACCGGCTCTCGCTCGAGCAGCCGGTGGAGTGGGCGTTTGCGCTGCGCCCCTTCAGCCCGGAGGAGGAGGTGGCGCTGCCGGACCTGGTGAGGGCGCTGGCGTGAGGGTGTAAATATAAAAGCCAATTTCATGTTTCAAGCCCGGGATGCTTGTGGGCCCCCATATATTGACATGTTGAGTCCAACCTGACGGTCCTCACCAGCCCAGGCCCAGCCTCTCCTCTCTAACCTATTGCAATATATACATTGATATTGATCGCATCTCTAAGTATTGGAGCAATATATTCAATATTTCTCGACGTCCTTAAGCCCGCCGGGGGCCGGCTGAGGCTCAGGCTACACACAGCTGTACGGCTTGTGCCTGTTGTTTGTGTGTGTATCCGCGCTCTTGCACGAGACTGACTGGTGTGTCGCACTAGTTGTACTTTTCGTAATAGTATTCCGCATTCATTGCGAGGGCGGACCTCTCCTAGCGTGCAGACCGCGGGAGCTGGTGCCGATGTGATTGAACTTGCGCTCGTGAATGCGCTCATCTTCAACGCGCTGCACCTTGCTTGGGCTCAGCAGGCGCCCGCGGCAACCGGCGCATCTGCAGCCCGGCGCATCTTCAGCCAGCGCGACCGTCGTTCGCCATGGGCATCCGCGGGGCGACGCTGCCCTACGAGGCCAGAGCCCTCATCCAGGAGTGCGACCCCGCCACCATCTTCGGCGACATGAGTTTTCTCGGGTCCGGCGCCTTTGGCGAGGTCTTTGAAACCTCGCATTTGGCCACGGGCGCGCGCCTGGCCGTCAAGAAGATCAGGCTCGTCAAGGGCTTCGACAGCGATGAGTGGGATGACACCTACCGTGAGATCCGATTCCTGCGGCGATGCGACCACCCAAACATCCTCACGTTCCACGGCTGCTACCTGCACGAAATGACCATCTGTCTGGCCATGGAGCTCGCCCTTGGCTCGGTCACGGACGTGATGGAAGTCTTCAAGGCGCCCCTCAACGAGGCCGAGATTGCGGTGGTCGCGCACGATGTGCTGGCCGCACTCGCGTACCTGCACCAGTCGGGCCTGATCCACCGGGACGTCAAGGCGGCAAACATCCTGCTCACAGAGGACGGCTCTGTGCGGCTGGGCGACCTCGGCAGCGGGAGCATGAGCTCGCGCGCCTCCTCGCTGGTCGGGTCTCCCTACTGGATGGCGCCCGAGGTGGTGATGGCGATGGAGGCGGGCAGCTACGACGGCAAGGTCGACGTGTGGAGCCTCGGCATCGCGTGCATTGAGATGGCCGAGCGTCGGCCGCCGCTGTGGAAGATGAACGCCATGTCGGCGCTGTACCACATACCGATGAACGCGCCGCCGACGCTGCCCGCCGACGGAGGCTACAGCGACGCCCTCCGGGACTTCCTGGCAGCGATGTTGGTCAAGAGCCCGGCCGAGCGCGGCAGCGCCGTCGAGCTGTCACAGCAGCCGTTTGTCGCAGAGAAGCGGCCAGGCGACACCATCCTCAAGCTGGTGACGCGCGCCAAGAAGCCGCGCGAGCTATGGGACGAGTCGATGGCACGCGACGGCTCCGCGGCGGCGGCGGCGGCGGCGGCGGCGGCGGCGGCGACGATTCCCAGCAAGTGCGATGTCCTCTCGCCAGCCTCGAACAAAACTTTCGCTCTCGAGCTGGCGCGCCGCAGCCTGGGCGGCCCCTCGCCGCCGGTCACCCCGGGCAGCTACGAGGGCGCCTTGGCGGCTGCGACCGGGCCGACGGGCGGCGCCGCCGCTGAGACGGCGCTGCAGCAGGTCCGGACGATCCGGCACCAGCAGAGGAGCGAGTTGGAGGTGGAGCAAGCCGTGGTGGCGATGCAGCTGAAGGAGCAGAAGAAGGTGCGGGTGGTGCACAACAAGGCTGCCGAGCAGATGCGCCGACACCACGAGGCGGAGATGCAGCGGCTGGCGCAGCAGGACGCCAGGGGGCGCGACGCGCTGCTCAGGCTGGGCGACAGCGAGCGCGAGAAGCTGCGCGTGCGGCACGCGGCTGAGCTAGGGGAGACGGCCAGGTCGATCCGCGCCGACGAGAAGAAGCACGCCAAGAGCCTCAAGGACTACCACAAGACCAACCAGGCAGAGCTGGCCGCCACCAACAAGAAGATGCAGGCCGAAGCCAAAGCGGCGCTGAAGGCGGAGCTGCGCGCATGCCCCAGGCGCCTTCCCCCCTCGCCCCCGCCCCTGACCCTCGCCCTCACTCCCACACCGCCCTCGACCCTCGCCCTCGCTCCCACACCGCCCTCGCTCCCACCCCGCCCTCGCCCTCGCCCCCCGACCACCGTGCTCGCCCGGCCAGGCGCGAGGCCAAGGAGAAGAAGCGCGCGCACGCCGACCACGTCTTGCACGAGCGCGAGCACAACGCCGCCGTGGCGCAGCAGCAGGCGGCGGCGCACGAGGCGCGCGCGACCCTGGCGGTGCGCGTGATGCACCTCAAGCGGCGGCAGGCCGAGCAGGCGCGGCAGCTGGGCGAGGAGGTGGCGCTGGTAACGCGGCTCTCGGAGTCGCTCTGCCGGCACCAGCACGAGCGCACCGACGCGCGGCTGGCCGCGGCGGCGGCGCAGTGCGACGAGCGCGCCGCGTCGCAGCGCGAGTACCACGCGCGGCTCTGCGCCATGGAGGACGAGCAGATGGCCAAATGCGAGCAGGCGGCGGAGAAGGCGCTCAAGAAGCGGCAGCAGGCTAACCCTAACCCTGACCCTAACCCTGACCCTGACCCTTACCTGACCCTAACCCTAACCCTAACCCAGCAGGCGGACCTGCGGCGGCAGCCAAAGCTCCTCGGCAGCGGGCGGGACGAGATCCGACGCTCGCACACAGAGACGGTCAAGGCGAGCAACAAGCAGCACAAGACGCTGCTCTCCGAGGCCAACAAGATGCCCAAGAGCCCCGACAGGTCGGACACGCTCAAGCGGCACAAGGCCGAGCAGGCGCAGCGGCTGAGCCGGCTCGAGGAGCAGCACAAGCAGAGCATCGCCGACTTTGTGCGCAACTTCAATGAGCAGGTGGAGAAGACGCACGCGGGTTGGTGGGACAAGCACCGCGCCGAGTTCGAGACGGCGCGCGCCAGCGTCGCCTCCTACCAGGCGGCGCGCGCCGAGACGTTTGCGGCCAAGCACGCGGAGGAGCAGCGCCAGCTCGAGGCTGACCGCGCGGCCGCCCAGGTGGAGCTCAGAGGCTTCGAGGCGGACGAGGAGACGCGGCTGGAGGAGCAGCGGCAGCGGCAGGTGCAACTGGCGGGGCGGCACGAGGAGGAGCTACACGAGCTCACGATCTCGCACGTCACGTCGACGCGGAGGATATCTATTTGAGCGGCTCACGCTGCACACGCATGCTTACGTTTACGAGAAGGTTGCAAGTCGCGCGAGTACCTCTGTTGGAGATTTTTATTATTTGTTGATTGTTGTCGTGTCGTGACGTCGCGTGAGATCTTTTGTTCTACTGTCTCGTGACGTGTGTAGGTATGTAAGTGAGGTATGTAAGTGTCGACTTGTCTCAATGTACAATGTCTGCAAAAAAAGGGGAGGGGAGGGGGGGCGATTAGAGCTGGATATACGTACCGTAGGGGCCTCCCATCCTGACTAGGTCCAGCCCTGGGTGGCGCAAGATCTGACGTTTTGTGTCTGTAAGTATAAAGATGAGAGTGAGGTTGAACCGGACCCAATCAAAGTCGGCGGGTTTCGAGGGGGGGGTATGACGAAAAACGGCGGGCGCATTTGGGCACATGACAGGGAGAACTCTGTGGTGGACCCGCTGGGCGAAAGGAGCTCGCAGACCGTTGCAGCCTCACGATGTCATTGAGCGGAGCGAGTGCGAGCGCGGCGGCCAAGCAGCGGCACCAGCCACCAGGAGTAGCGGCGAGCTGACACGAGCGCGCTCGTCGATGCGGCGAGGGGGCAGAGGCAGATGCCCGAGCTGCCGCCGTACGTGCCAGAATTCGACCTCGCGTTCATGTCTCAGATGCTGGGCGGTGGAGCTGTCTGGTCGGAGCCAGAAGACCCAGCCACTGGCGATGACGAGACGATGATGCAGGAGGCCGCCGTCGACATTGCCCTCCAGCTTTTGACGGATGACGGGGGGCTGCAAGCGCTGCTCGCATCTGATGAACCGAGCGCAGAGAGGGTTGCGCTGGAGGGCCCGACAACGCGCTTGCAAACTCGCGTGCGAGGTTTTTAGGTTAGGTGTAGGAAGGTGAAGAACAGCCAGGCTCGGACTGGACACCAACGCGGTATGGGTGGACGCTGGACAGATGATGACGACACCACGACACGCACGAGCGACACACAGACACAAAAGGCTCGAGGTTGGATCAGCTTTACTGACATCATGACAATCGTCAGATCCGTGTTTTTTTGGTCTTGCGGTACATCTCTCCGCTCGCCACCTCACGCTCCGCCGTCCGGCCATGGATGGTCCGATGGAGCTCGCCGAGCTCCATCGGACCATCCAACTCCGGTCACCGAGTCTGAACGCGCTCAGCCTCAGGAGGTACCAAACCGCGCGAATTCTGCACGCCTCGCTGCACCGCTGGCTTGACTGAATCAGGCAGCAGCAGGCTGCTGCTGCTGCCACAGCAGCAGTCTGCTGCGGCCCTAATACGCAAGTTGATGACTAGCAGCACTGCCGGGGGCATTCGAGCCGCCACAGCCGGTGTACGGCCGTGCACTGCCACCTGCCTGCGGCTACGCACAATGTGCGCTCGCATTGGATGAGCCCTGCTGATGGACCTGCGTCGCCTAGCTGCACGAGAGCAATGCCGCAGGCAGTGGCCGTGGCATACACTGCGAGCACACTTGGTGCAGCTGCGAGGTGCAGCAAGAGCACGTCGTTCCTGCCTCTGATGCCACTCTCGCGGCTTGCAGCGCGTCACTCGCGCATGCTCTCCAGGAGCTATGGCGGGCGCGTGTGTGGGGCTGTAGCCTGTGTTTGGCTGGTTCTACCCGTTTACTATCAGTATCATGTCCGGGCCACAAAAAATCGCACACGGGTAGCGGCTCAGGGGCCCAGTAAGTCGCGGAATCGCCAAATGTCACAACCTGCGCCACCCAGGGCTGGACCTAGTCTCCTCTCTACCTCAAAACACGACTCGACGCAATCGGCTCGACGCGGTCGCGCCGCTCCTCCCTCAGGAGCGCCTTGAGCTCGGGCGGCGCGCCCTTTTGCAGATCCGCGTCGCCACTGCCCGTCGTGATGGCTGCGCCGCCCTCGGCAAAGAGCGCCTCGCGCTCCTCGAGGCTGAGCATCGGCCTGTTGCCGCGCTCGCGGACAAAGATGAAGAGCGCATCGTCACCGCCGCGAGTGATGCGGCAGGTGGCGTCCAGGTAGGTCACGTCGTTGGCCGGCTGCGCTGCGTCCGGGTTCTGTCGGGTGACGACCACCTTGCGCAAAGGCGTCTCGAGCGGCTTCCCGAGGACGGCGTCGAGCCCAAAGGTAAGGCGTCGAAAGTCGACATCGACCCGGTTGCCGCGCTCGTTGCGCGTTCCCGCCGCGTTGAGCGTGCCGGGCGGCGCGAGCCGCACGTCGCCGATAACGAGTGTTGAGGCGCGCGCCAGCCCGAGCCTGTGCTCGACGAGGCCTTGGTTCTCGAACCTTCCGGTCTGCACGTCAACTGGCTGATAGGTCTTCCCGAGCACAAAGCCCAGTGGCAAACCAGTCGCAAGGTTCGTGATCTCGCGTCCATTGGAGTATACCAGCCTCCACGAGTCCGAGAGCCGCGGGTCCTTTGCGTTGTCGCGGGCGGCCTGCCGCTCGACGGCCGCGGCACGCGCCTCGATCTTTCTGGCAAGCGCCGGCGGCACGGTCGCGTTGGTGGCCGGAGCGCCGAACTCCATGCTCGGGATGAGCGCGAGAAGCTCCGCCGCAAGGCTGGCGGCAGGAAGCTGCTCGGCGGCGGACACGGGCCCAGTGATGGCGGCTTGCGGCGCGGACAGAAGCGCCCCACAGAGCGCGGATGCGAGTGCAGTTCTGCGAGACGTGGAGGTGGGCTGGCGCATGTTTCCGTGTTCGAGATGACTGCACTCGACTCTCGCGGCGGCCCGGCGGGGCGGTCGGGGCGAAGACAGAGTCGGGCGGCTGCGGGCGAGCGTCGGACCTCGTCGCGGCGCGGTGACCCCAAGCTCCTACTCTTTTTATGGCGCAAACAACATACCTAAAACAAATCGCAACACTTGGGTCAATCCAGCGAAATCAGATTCAAGCTGCCAACTCGAGGGAGGTGGGGGTCGCTGGCGATTGAGCGTGAAAGTGCCACCAGACTTCCGGCTCACTAGGATACGCGGCGATCGAAGGCGACACCAGCCGCATTAATCCAACAAGCGCACGCGCACACACGGCGATCGAAGGCGACACCATACGTGCCCAAATAAAACGGCGGCGGGCGCTCCGAACGCGGACCCTGCATCCTCTCGCTGCACATATGCTGTCCCTCTGCGCGCTCGGCGCCGACGGCTCCTCCGACCCGCGTCGCCAGCTCAGCTTTGCCTCGCTGGCCGAGCTCCCCCCGCCGGCAACGCCGCCGCTGCGCACGCTGGGTATTCTGAACCTGGATGGCTACTACTACCCCACGCAGGTTGCTTCAGCCCCCTTCGCCGCTGCGCCCCTCCGTGGACCTCAAGAGTCCGCTCCCCTCTGAACACATACCCTCGCTAATGCCTCCCGAACCGTGTCCGGCGTCCCCGCGCAGCCTGGCGACGTGAACGACCTCCGGACATGGTGCCGCGTCAGCGAGAGCCTCGTGGATGACCCCGAGTACACGTGCGAGCTTCCGCTGCGACACGACGGTGGCACACCTTGCGACGGGGGCGCGACGTGCGACGAGTTTGGCGCCGCCTACGCCGTCATCGGCGATAAGGACGGGCAGTTCACCTTTCACGTTTCAGAGACTCCCAGACGGCATCGGCCGCCGAGGGAACGTTGGGAAGAGGCACGAGGAGGGCGGCGACCTCGACCGACTATGGAGGACCCGTCGCCAGACGACAGCCCTTGACGTTCGCGCGGATTTCGCGAACTCCGAACTCGAACGAACGCAGCCGGCGGGGCCCAGCCCGAACCTCAGAACTGAACGGACCGCGCCGGCTGTGGAAGGCGCGAACTGCGAAACCGAACGAACGTTCGTGAACTCCGTTCGAACTTAGGAAACAAGAAAATCATCGCCAATTCGTTCGTTCGGCGTGCTCGCGCGGTACCAGCCGCGCTGAACGAACGACTCGCGGAACTACCCCAGAGCGGTTCCCGCAGCTGGACCGCTCCGAGGACTAGGGTCCCGATGGTGCCGGCTGCGCTGTGAGCAGGGCCGCCCTGTGGTGCCTGGGCGCCGTGCGTGCTGACTGGCGAGTAGAATTGGGAAGACGGGGGCTCCCCGAGGCGTCCAGGCGTACTAGGCCTCTAATAGGCGACCAGGGACTATACAGGCCTGCATAGCCAAAAAATACATATTGCGGTTCGTTCGCGGTTCGTTCGCAGTTCAGACGAACTTCCCTGGTGTTCCTCGCCCTGCGGGTGTGAAGCGGGTCGGGGGGGGGAGGAGAAAAGAAAAGGCTCGAGTTCACGAACTAGTTCGAGGGTTCGGGCACCCAAGGGCGAACGACCGAACCATGCAGCGAACCAAGGGGAAGCCGTCCAGAGCGAACTCCGAAACCGAACGAACCGCGAGTTCACCAAACCAGTTCACGAACCAGTTCGCCAGTTCGCCCGCGAACGTCAAGGGCTGCCAGACGACGCAGGGCAGAAGACGGTGAGGCGGAGCAGACGCGCAGGGCGAGACGAGGGAGGGAGCAGGACTTTGCGGAGATCAGCAGGAGGATGTACGAAGAGATTAGGAGCAGCAGGGACCCGAGGGACCATGTGGAAGACGGCTAGTGCTAGTCCCCCACCGGGAGGACGACCCCGGCTAGTCGCCGACCACACCCACAAAGAACCCTGCACAAAGATCGCAAGGGCGGGGGCCTGTATTCCTTTTTACCCATCTCACAGTAGAGAGGTGTCCGTTTTTATTACTCGGTTCTTCGCGGCCTGCGCCGGAGAGTTGGCGGTCGTGCGCTGGGTGGTGATCGTCATCTGTCTGCTCTGCTGTGCTTCTCGCTCGTGCGTCCTTGGAAGTTGTGCTGACCTCCTTTCACCTCCTGCTCTCCTATGCCACGTGGCTGTGTGTGTTTGGATTTCTATGTTTGCGATTTGGATTTTAAAGAAAGAAAGAAAGAAAGAAAACACACAACCCAAGGGAGGGATGGGAGAACGGCACGCCGCCACCACACAGGGATTTTAAGGAGAGGAGTGTGGATTTTGGATTTTACACTACACTTTTTTATTTATTTATTTATTGCCTGGCAACCAGTCAGGCGATGCTGCTCGATGTCGCTGCTCGAACATCGCTGCAGCCAAAGTACGACATCGTGCTGTACGGCGCCACCGGCTTCACCGGTCAGCTCGTCGCGGCCTACCTCCACTCCGTGCAAGACCTGCAGGGGCAGAAGTGGGCCATCGCCGGCCGCTCGCCCGCCAAGCTGGCCGCGCTGGCCACCAAGCTCGGCGCGGGCGTCAGCTCCATCGCCGCCGAGCTCACGGACGCCGCCGCCACCGCCGACCTGGTGTCCAGCACTCGCGCCGTCATCAACTGCGCCGGTCCCTTCTCGCAGCACCACGCGGAGGAGTTACTGGGTGAGTGCGCGAGGAGAGGTGTTCACTACTCCGACTTGGCCGGCGAGGGCTTTTGGCAGGCGGAAATGGCGGCCAAGTTCCACCAGGTCGCCGAGCGCAGCGGCGCCAAGATTGTGCTCGGCGGCGGCGTCGACTCCATCCCGAGCGACCTCGGCTGCATGCTCGCCATCGACGCGCTCCCAGGGGAGGGGGGTCCGATCCAGGCGCGCGCGGTGTACACCGAGTACACGGGGAGCTTCTCCGGGGGCACGCTCAACAGCGGCCGCGCGATGAGCCGCGCGCGCAACGAGGGCCGCGTCACGGCCGCGATGGAGGCGGACCCCTACCTGCTCGCCCCGGGCACGACCGGCGCGGACAGCGCCGTCGGCACCGCCGACGGCATGCCGGCGGGCTTTGGCTGGGGCCTCTCGCGGCGGCAGCCCTTCTTCATGGGGCGTGCGAGACGCCCCGCCGTTTGACCGCCGTGGTGTGTGGGGTGTCTGACGCTCCCCGCGCTACGCCCCCGCGCCTCGACCAGGCCGATCAACGCGCGCGTCGTGCGTCGCTCGCTGGCGCTGCGCGGCCTCGCGCAGCAGGTCTCCTACTCCGAGTGCTCGTCGGTCGGGCTCTGGCTGCGCCTCGGCTGGGTGTACGCGTCGCGCGGCCTCGGCTACTTCCGCGGCGAGCCGATCAACCTCTCGCCGCGCTCGGGCGAGGGCCCTCCCTCTTGGCTCCTCGAGGAGGGCGCATTCGCGGTGGAGGTGACGGCGACGGCGGCGAGCGGCGCGCAGGCGGTTGCGACCGTCGTGGGCAAGGGCGACCCGGGCTACGGCGCGACGGCTAAGATGTTGGCCGAGGTGGGGCTCTGCCTGAGTCTGGACGCGCACCCCTCTGCGGCGGGAGGCG